GTGTTAGCTAGCTATATCGCCCGATAGTAAATAACCCAATTCGAATTGCTAGCTAGGTATATCGGGTAGTATATTGAGTTAGCTAGCTAGATCGCCCGATAGTCGATATTTTTTTTCTCCTTGGGATATTGTTTTATTTATTTAACCAGAAATGTAACTGATATGTAAGCCTAGTTTGAGACAAATTGTCCTCCATTAACAACCAGACATGAAGGCGCTGTTGAACAGAACGACATACTTTGCGACACATTTCTTCTGGGATCTGTTTACAAGCTTCTTCGATTCTCTGCTTAAGTTCTTGAATGGAAGTAAGTAGTTGTTTAAGCACCGTGTCTTTCAAATATCCCAGAGGAAAAAGTCACATGGAGAATAAACACTTCTATTTACTTCCACATTCAGAAAAAAAATCAGCTCATTTGGGTAAAGAATAAAGAAAATATTGAACATTTTCTAAGTCTAAGGACTTTACGGACACCCTGTATATCAATGTATATCCAATGTATATCAATCAATATATATCCAATGAATATGAAGTTATCTTTTTTCTAAAGCATGATATCATGTGCAAATATAAAATTGTGTGCGTACTTAGAAATGTGCAAAATAAGAGTTACCTTTTCTCTGTTTATATTCAGTTTAAAGGTTTTCTCCTACATCAATGTGAGTATATGATTATTTGCATTGTCTGCCAACATTTTATTTCATTTCTTTTTCCCTCACTATACTTTCACTCTCAAGATTCGGATTCTATATTCGTGTTGTGCGAGGTGTCGTGTATTCGGCACCTCGCTCAGTACGAGGGGAGATAGGTGAATAGTGAGAGTGAGTGAAAAAACAATATTCGAGAGAATTTAAAAAGCTGAAAATCTAACAGATGAAAACAAAAAGTTATATAAAAAATATTGTAAGAAAATATGTAGTGAACAACGTCATTTTGAACATGCACTGCAACTCTAGTTGAAGCAAGCAAATGGATTCAGAGAAGCTCAAAGTTGCCGTAGACTGTATAAGGGATTGTTCAAACGTTTGGTAGCTCAAACGTCGTTGCCACTTTGAGGGAGTGGCCCACTATTAGTTTGAACTGTCCTAAACTCAACACAGTGCACTGTTAAGTAAACGTTGTCATGAAATTTAAGCCTCTCCCCTCTAAAAGCGATTTTTCATATGATATATCCTTCACCAATCTTTCACAGGGAATCCAAAGACGCTTTTTTGCGAAAAATCAAAGAAAATTTTGTGGACAAGAAAACGGCCTTATTCTCCTTCCTCTTTTTCTGGCGTATAGTTCAATTAAAAATTAAGCTTTCTTTTACCCAAGGGTAGAAAAACAACTCTTCTGACCTCTGGCTCGAAAGTTGCGAATGGGGTCTATTTATTTCAGTTTCTAAAATTAGTCATTGGAATGTTTCTTGCACGTTGCTTTCTATTCTTTCGTTCTGCGTAGATACGAAGGAAAAACAGTTAAAGCGAGAAGAAGGAAAGAAAAAAGAAAAACAATACAAAAGCAATAGAAAAGAGGAAAAAACCATGTATTTGTATGGTTTTTTCCACTTTTCTACTGTTTCTCTTTTTTCTTTCTCTCCAAATTTAACACAATCATAAATGTGGGAAATAACCGAGAGAAAATTCTTTTATAACTACAAAATTTTTACTCGCAAAACACTATATTGTACTTGCCTTTTTATACAAAAATTTTCTTTGGATAGAATTAACATAGATGGCTCAAGCAAACAAATCAGTTACCCTGAAAAGGTTTCTATTTCTGGGACCAACTGGTTCAGGTAAGTTTGTGTGTGAGTGCCACAATCCATTGGAACCTTGGGAAATAATTAAAAATGAATGCGAACTAATTTAAAAAAATGTCATATTAAATTAGTGTACATTAATTTTTTTCTGGTTAAAAATGAATGAACTTGACAAATTAATTTGAACTGGTTAAAATTCAATTGATTTGCATCAATTTATCAAGTTAAATTAATTTGAATTCATTTTTAATCAGAAAAAAATTAATGTGCACTAATTTAATATGACACTTTTTTAAATTAGTTCGCATTCATTTTTAATTATTTCCAAAAGTTCCAATGGGAAGCCTTGTTGGTGAAACTTTAACGTCGAAGTTGTATCTTAGTGAAAGTTTATAATTTGTATGTAGGAGAGTATTCGATAAATGTTAAAAATCTCGTCGTCCCTTTTTACTATCTGTCGCATCCATCAGAAATGTTTGCACATATCAGACACGCACACGCTTAATAATTTAGGAAAATCAAAGATGGTTAATTGCTGTTATAATCGTAGTGTGGATCTGGATGAGTTAAAAGCACCATCTGGCGTTAGTGAAGACGATCGAATTATCGGTACAACTTCATCCATATCAAATTATGTTGATCAACGAAATAAAATCGTTTATGTTGATACAATTGGTTATGGTGATGTTCGATTTCATCAAGATCGAGAATCATTTCTGCTATTTTTCCGTGAATTAATCTGCTACTCATCAATTGGCTATAACTGGTTGTTTTTATTCATCCGTTATCAGCAATTAAGCGCAGATATATTTGTTTATATTCAAACACTGGAACAATTGTTAGGTGAAAAAGCCTTTACACGTTGTAGTATTGTATTTACACATTGTAAAATCAAGGGTATGACACGTGAGCGATGTATCGAGGCCAATAAAGAACATGATGGTATTGTGAGAATATTGAAAAAATTTAACAACATTATTTTCGGAGATATGGATACGGATGCAGTTAGTGAAGAAGATTCAGATAGTGACGATGATCAACAAGCGAAAGAACGATTACATGACAAAAAACGAAAACAACGAACGAAATTTATGAACAAAATGCTAACTCAAATTGACCATACAGATGAAACAATACTCTCGTTAGAAAAACACTGGTATCAACATTATTGGACAAAATTTACTTCGCTTATGGGTTATTATTTTGAAAAAGTAGTTGGAAAACCAAATGAGCTGAGCAAACTGTATAAATTAGCTGCTGGTTTAAAAAAAGATATACCAGTAACCATTTATTACGAAGAATGTTCCATATGTCTTGAACTGATCATCGAAATAGTAGACCACAGCCCAAAAGCTTGCATTACAAAATGTGGTCATGTTTTTCATTATGACTGTTTAAGAAGGTCATTTGACCAACAAAAGAAATGCCCCAATTGTCGAAAAGATTTGAGAAGCCTACCGGAAAAAGTATCTGGTTTGGTAATAGGTTTAAAACAAGTACAAGATCCACTGAAATCAAATGTTGACTGAATTAACACATCAAAAATAGAAATTTCAATGATATATATATATATAGCTGTATTTTTCACGAATATAGTTCAGAGTATTTTGTTACCGAATAAAGTGAACACGATAGAAAATTATCAAGATAGGTTTACCACCTAACAACGGTCCGTCCACGGTGAACATTTTTTACTAGACAGGCGGACATCAAGTTCTTATCACCAGGAATGATTGTTTTTGACTCACAATGACTTTGTGTACCTATAACATTATCGAAGGAAAAAAACTCACTCTGAAAACTTTCAGTTTTTGGTCAAAAACGTTTAAAGAGTCCAGGAGAAGTTTTTCGACGGGGAAAACATATCTCAGAAAACGTTTGAGAATTATATGTTCGATGCAGTTTCACGTGCTGATTCTGAATATCACTTTATTCTTCATTAAAAATGTTCCTGATCTAAGAAAACCTACCCTGAAAACTTAGGCTGGCTTGAAAACTTTACAGTCAAGTCCAGTAACACTTATGCATCAGTAAGCATTCACCATAGCTGTAGTGTGTATAGAGGGATATTTGTGTAAAATCTGAGTGAGTTTGAAGCTCGGAAAACTTTGGGAAATTAATTATTCTGAACCCAGCTATAGCATAATTCTATTAGCTTGAAAGCTAATTTGTTTCTCTAACGTTTTACGGTCTAGACAAAAAATTTCTTCACTGCCGGATAGGCCAACGAGTCTTAATTTATAACTTAAATCGGTTTTCACCAATGCGTAAAAAACAACGAAACACGAAACGCTTTGTCTTGAAAGGTGGTTAATAAAAAATGTCGAATTTGGTTTTTTAGTTTTTTAGACATTTCTCTTGACCGAGAAGTCGCATAAGGCTCTAAACGTCTCACTTTGTTCAGAATTCAATTCTCTATTGCTCTACACCATTTTCAAAAACTCCGGTTGTTAAGAAGGGTTTCTGAGGATTCGGCCTCTGGAAAATCCTGTGGATGATTTTTGAAAATTTTAAAAATGTTTTCATTGGATTCGTCATCGTTTTTAGCTTATCTGCCACCATTTCCATTAAATTTGGACGAAAAAATCAAGACTTAGTCAAAAATGGCCCGACCTTTTTTCGCTTCGTTCCACATAAAGGGGTTTTTCTCCGCAAGGGAGATGAATTTCAAAAATCGACACATTTACTTTAAAAGCTTGTTTCAGGGCGATTGTTTTCGCGTATGACTCAATGCGATAGCTCTTAACCCGAAAACTAGATATAGTTACAAAATGGATCGTTTCATTTTGGCTCGTACTGGTTCGGACATCTATGTCGGACGAGTGTCATTAACATTATATGAGGAAACAGTAGATAAACAGAGTCTATCAGTGAATTATATTGGATATAGGACCCCCGCCCGCGCGCAGGTCTCGAAAATCTGAATCGACAGTTCCATTCAGACAATATTTTTCTCTTCGCATACTGAATAAATCAGCTCCGATTTTTTCTTAAAAATAATCGAAAAACACGGAATTTCTTGCATAATTATTGAAAAGAAGTCCTATTTATAATTATTCCACCAAATGCGACAGAAATAGACTTGAGCGCCGAATCACAAACGTTCGTTTGGTGCCAAATCGCTCGGATTAATTATCTAACTTTCGTTAATACTTCTGATGCATCCTTTTTATTCCTGCGTGCGTACTGAATGAGCGAAACAATTCGCCTTTTTGCATCATGTTCCTGAAGAAAAACTGGGTAAAACGTTGTGCAAGAACTGAGACGGGCCTAAACTTTCTCTTGAGAAAGTCATATGAAGATGTTTTTTTGTAAACGTTTGTACTGTGCTTTATCTGCCATACTTTTGACTTTTTTTTCTTCATAGCCGAGGACGTTAGGGGTTGTGTGTACTTTATTTTCAAGAGCAAGTCGAGGCGATTTACCAAAGCACATGTTACGACTTTGTAACTGTAAACCGTTCGTCAAAGTTTCGAACACTTTCTCTGATAATCGGATCGCACACGTAGAACATCGAGAACTACTGGTGTGAACAAGACTTGTTATTTTCCGCCTTGATGGTTTTCAGTCGTAGGTCAACCGATCTTACGGTGTACTATAGGAAGCTTATAAGATTCTGATAAGTTCTTATACGAATCTCATCATCTCCAAATATAGAAATTTTATAAAGTTCTTGTAGAAATCTGGAGGATTTCTCGGGATTCCGGAATCTCGCCAAATAAGACTTTCGCTAATAGGATATTCGCCAATGGCGAAAGTCCACTGTACTTTCGCCAATATACCCCCTGGAATTTTGCCAATTGGCGAATGTCCACTGTACTTTCGCCATTTTGACCGTGAATTAGACGTGGATTAGAAAAGTTCTTAGTATTTAGTTTTCTATTTTTTGTCTTACTTCTGTTCACATGTGTGTGCGCGTGATCTTTTAGTATTATACTGACTGTGGTACACGTTTTCGTCTCTCTATTTTCTTTTTCTTTTTCTAAATAATGTTTCAAGCCTAGAATAATGTTTCAAAATCAGATTCATCAGGTGCATCGTCAGATGAACATTAGGTTACGCTTTACTTGTATTTTCTTCATATTAATCTCGCTTTTTTCTCATTAAAAACATGGCTCGCTCATATGCGAATATATCCTAAGTGTAAGCTATGGTATATATATTCTAACAACATTAGCGTCACTCCTCACATGTATCCTATATTAATATTATTTCGTGACAGCTGACGAAAGTCCACTGTACTTTCGCCAATACATCCCCTGCACTTTCGCCATTGACGAATGTCCTGTCGGCGAAAGTCTTATTAGCGAAGTTCCGGTTACCCGATTTCTCTAGTTATCCTATACAAGATTGAAGCTCTACGATCGAAGCTGAAACATATTAAGTTGTGTTTTATTTGAGTTTTTGAGCGTTTTCATGTTCAAAATTCGATTTCTGAGATGGGAAAATTTTTATCTTCTCGTTTATTCAATTATAGAAAACTTGAATTTCAGTCAGAAGAAATGTTCAAATTGCAGTTTTAACAGATTAGGAGATCAGCAAAAAGGAATATCTATAACTAACTGAAAGACGGGGTCTGTGTTGTTTCTGGTTTGTCTGGCTACATTCACCAAATAATATTCTGGCGAAAATTTTTTTTTATAGTTAAAATCTTGACTTTATGAAATAGTTTTATGTCGTGACTCGAAAAATCTGGTTTTTGTACGAAATATTAGCTCCAAGACATCAAAACGCAAAAGTTTTAGGTTTAAGAATTCTTCTCCTTCGAAGAGCTCTTCGTGAGAATGTACAACGCTGATTTCATCATGTTTTACCCAGCTTTCTCTTCGGGAACATGCAGCCATCAAAATAAATTATTCATCTCAAGTTCAGCTAGAAGCTTTTATTTTGAGAACTTTCCACAGCCGAAAATGTAAAAGTACTCAGATTCTAACGCACTTTGAGACACCGTTTGATACCTGAAATGGTTAAAAGAAAGGTTTCAATTTTTGACAATAAAAAGTTAAAAGGATTTGTCTCCTGGCTCTCTCATTAGAATTACCGTACACTAACACAGTAAATTACTTATTTGGCTGCAGTAATTCTATTTTGAGAAAGCCAAAAGAGCGGTTATAAACTGTTGATTACTTGACTGAGTGAAATTTCTTGGCTAGTCAATAGCTATTGGTTGTTTTCACAAAATGGATTTGAAGAGCTGCTATTTAGCAGCTCTTCCTGTCTAGCGATTCCTGTACACTTGGTTGAATGATTATTCGTTTCTGTCGTATTCGCCATATTATGAAGAAGCATTCTGCGTTCCTTGCTGCCTATTCGCATCGACCACCGCAAGCTCAACTGTCGGTCTCTTTGTCAACCAACCATGCTCTCAATTCCGACACTTCAAAAAGTTTTCCAGCCTCATTAAAGCGCATTTCAATTCAGAAAACCACAAAATGGCACTCACACGCGCTGCTAACTTCCTCCGGACTTTTGACAATCCATCCACCGGCATTGACTTCCAAATTGATCGACGACGAAGCGAGATGGTTGAAAAAAATACATCTGTGCTACTTTCAGTTATCAAAGTGGTGATCACATGCGCTCGACAGAACATTGCTCTCCGAGGCCATCGAAGTACGTATTTTCATCAATGTTCTCAAAGAGGACAGTAGAAAAATCTTCCTACAACGAAGAGTATCACGGAGATATCTTTTTAGATGAGAGCATTTTGGCGATTCGAGATCATCTCAACAATGTCGAAGCACCATCGGGTTCAAATTTCACCTCCCTCCTCAAGCAACGCGTCGACGCTGGTGATGAACTCCTTCAGTCTCATCTCGAAAAAGGTCCTCGTAACGCAACATATACAAGTCCTTCGCTCCAAAATGAGATCATTGATCTTATACATGAACACATTCTTTCGTCTATTCTCTTTCGTGTTGGACCAACTACATTCTATGCTGTGATAGTGGACATGTTGACATGAACATAGGTATGCACCAGTTACAGTTTTTTACCAGTTAACTGTAACTGTGAAAACTGTAACTGTCACAACTGTATAACTGTAACTGCTCATAACTGTAACTGTCAAAACTGTAAGTGCTCATAACTGTAGACAAATATTCTAGAGTGAATTAGTCTTCTACGATTTGCATACATTTTAAGGATGTCTCTGTTCTTAAAATGTCTCCAAATCGTAGAAGACTAATTCACTCTAGAATATTTGT